GATCCTCGTGACTAGTCTCATTTTGTAGGTCTGGGGCTCCACAGCATACATGTCTGGAACTCCTCATTTATGTTGTGATCTGAGTATATTGTTTTGATATGGTGACATTTTTATCAGTATCATCAGTGTTGTGAAGATGAGGTCTGTGTATTCTCAGTCTTGTAGGCTCTATTATTTGCTGTTAAATTGAATTTTGTGCAGAGATTTAAAAGCTCGTTAAGTTCTGTGGAGGTGAGTTTTATCTGAGCTGACCTACTGGTTAGCATTACTCTGCAACAATATATTTGACTATATTCCTCCATTTAGTGTGCCTTAAGTTGAAAATCCCCCAGGAGCAAGATGTTAGGTGCAGGAGCTGGAAGATTTTCTGACAGTGGTCAATTTTTAACTAGATGTTCATTGGAATTGCTGGGATGTTGCATCCGGAGGCTTGTAGACCTACCACAATGACTAGGTTTTGCTTCACGACCTTACTGCTAAAACTGCCACTACGTTGCATTGAGGCATTAAGCAGTTCTGTGCAAACAAGCTGACCTTGCAATGTACGCCAACCCCCCCCCCCTTTTGTGTTCAATCTGTTACATCTGTTTAGTTGTAAACCTGGGATCCTTACTTCGTTGCCAAGTGATCTTTATGTGGGTCTCGTGAAAGCGAGCGAAACATTGCTTTGCCTCTGCAAGCCAGTCCAGGATGAAAGGTATTTGTTGTTTGTTGCTGGCTTTAGACCTGTATATTTGCAAAGAAGAATGTATGGACTGGTGGTATTGTTGTACTGGGGGGGGGATTTTTTTTTCCGGCATTAGTATTGTATTGTTGGTTTGGAAGTGGAGGCCATTGATGTGGTTCCACTCAGGAATGACTGGATTTGGTGTATCGATTTCTGCCATTTCCTGCCAGTTTTTTTTCCTTCCTGGCATCTAAAAAACCTCTCCCTCCTTGAGTGGTGTGGCAACTACCAGGTTTATCCAATGGACTGGATGTTTTGTATCTTTTTGTCCCCTTTAGATGGTATGGTCCTGGCAATTTAAGTTATTAGCCAGTCTTTCCTGTATGAATGAGGATACAATTTCAGGGCTGAAAAAGCTTACAGGTAAGGAGTTTGCATTTTCCTGTTGTCATATGTGCATGGCATCTTTCTAGGGTGGTCATAGTTGCATGTCCCATCTGTTTTTCCTGATTGCCCATGGCAGCAGGAGCATGTTACCAAGGGCAATAGTATTGCACAGGCTTGGTTTCCGTTTGCTTGGGTTTCTGTGACTGTATTCCCTGTTGGTGCATGTTTCCCTGTCTTATTCTATCCTCACCTAGCACCGCAACTCTGAGCTCCCACAGTTGTTTCTTGGTAATTTATCCTCACTTTTGCTATTGGGTCCTCTTGTTTGACTATTTCCCTGCGTTTTTCTAGTTGCTATACTGGGTTTTATCTTATCTTTGACTACACTTGTTCCCTACTATGGTCCTGTACCCTTTGAGGTCATTATTATGTATTCCTGCCTGAGATATAATTCGACTACACTGGGAAATTATCTCAAGCCTTCACCATTTTTCCTTTTGTCTCCCAAGGATCAGTATTCCAGCTTCACCATTTCTGTACTCCCTGGACAGCACTCCAGCTCCACCATTACTGTCACCCCAGACAGCCACTAATCAGCCCCACATTTACTGACTACCAGGACATCACCTCCAGCCTTACAGTTTGTGACTACATGGCCAGTATCAAGGGCAGTACCATTCAGCCCAGACTTTTTATGTTCCTATCTGTTGTAGAAAGCTTCCAGGTTTTCTATGAAAGCAGCTTTGATGTTGTCCTCTTTTAATACCCTTGTGATAAGTTGAAATTAAGACACATGTGCAACAGTTGGATATCCTTATGGATGCAACATTTAACCTACACACAAGAAGCCTATTGCTTTATAAATTATGGTTCTGGTATTTTCTACAGATAGTATGTCTTTCTCGGAAAACATGAAACAGGACCCGTCTTTTATCTAAATGACAACATGTTAATGACCCTCGCTTAGTTCCTAAGTTCTAAACCCAGTTAACCAGACCAACCCACTCCCTTTAGTACAATGTGGTTTTTACCTGGTCATGTGAGAGTTCGCTGTGTCCATCGTGTAGGTGATGATTAACTTCCTGGCGCAGGTCGTTAACTTCCTCCAACAGCGCCGATGGATCCTCAATACGAACTCCAATCCATTACTCCACCTGGAAAGCCAAAACAAGATGTTTTTTTTTTTTTATTCGCGGGTATTTCTCCCGGACGGGGTCTTTTCCAAAGTAGTGGGTTGACCGACTTGGCTCCACTATCTGGGGAGTGTCTTCTCGAAGACTCAAGTCATCATGGGAAGGAGGTTACTAGTACCTCCTCATCGATACTGTGTAGTCACTAAGCGTCCCTCAAACCTGTCCGGTACTTGAATAAGACAGGTGTTGCTCAACAGTTAGTATCTTTATTGTTGAAACTCTTCGCCCTCTCCACAGGCTTCTTCAGTCGTATTGAGTTGATCAAATAGAGACCCACCTGTTATACATTTGTTACCATTTACATAATGTTCCAAGTCGGAGCTAAGCATGTATTTATATTAAATCCTATGGCTTGTTAGTTTATTAGATTTAAAGTCTATCCAAGTACTATAGGTTCTTTAAGGATTCATGCTACTTATACACCACCAGTCCAACGTTACTTGAATCCTTAACTAGAGGATGACTCTCTTCCTATAGGCACAGACAGTCTCATTGGGCCAGCCCATTGTGAAGAAATTCTCCCAACTGTTGTTGTACAAATGCCTTCCGAGAAAACAAGCTATAATTCCCAGCTTACTGTCAAGGTCACCACATGCTGCCAGAATTACTCTTGGCTGTCTTTAATTATCGTTTTGCTTGGGGACTCGTTGGGAAAGGGGCACTCCGCCTCGACCCTCAGGACATTTGCATTGGTGTAGCACCTAATCGCGTCAACACGTCAGGAGACAATTTGAACGCAGTGGTACCTAATGACAGGTCAGCAAGGTAGTTCTAAACCCGTAAGGGATCATACAGCGCCTGTGGGAGGGGGGTGAAGGCATTCAGACTTTATTCAGGGAAACTGGTGCACAGATCCAATTCCAAAGTCAAGAGCCCTCACCAGCGTCGAGGAGCTCGGGGGCGTGGTCAGCAGGAAACGGAACATGCAAGGTTTGATTCTAGAAGTCAGTGATAATGATCAAACGAAGTCTTAGCAACAACCTGTTGCACCCATCAGGATGGGATGAAGGTTGACTACCACCACAGGACTGCGGTGGTTTGACTACTTCCCCACAGGTATGGGTGAAATTGCTACACCCTACAGGACTTCTGTGGTTTGACTACTTCCCATCAGGATGGGTGAAGGTTGACTACCACCCACAGGACTGCTGTGGTGTCACTACGTCCCACAGATGAGTGAAGGTTGATTCCACCCACAGGATGCTGTGGTGTCAACTAACTCCCACAAGGATGAGTGAAGGTTGACTGCTCCACCCACAGGACTGCTGTGTGTCACTATTTCCCCAGGATGAGGAAGGTTTGTATACAACCACAACAGGATGCTGTGGTGTCATCTACTTCCCAAGAATGAGTTGTTGGTTGACATACCACCACAGGACTGCTGTGGTTGTAACTATTCCCACAGGTGAGCTGAAGGTTGACTACTCCAACTCCACAGGATGCTGTGGTTTGACTACTCCACAGGATGGGTGAAGGTTGACTACCACCCACAGGAATGCTGTGGTGTAACTACTTCCTCCAACAGGATGAGTGAAGTGTTGACTACCACCCACAGGACTGCTGTGGTGTAACTCTTCCCATCAGGATGTGTGAGGTTTTGACTACACCCAAGGAATGCTGTGGTGTATCTATTCCCACAGGATAGTGAAGGGTGCTTACTCCCACAGGATGCTGTGGGTCATACTTCAAACAGGATGAGTGAAGGTTGACTACCACCACAGGACTGCTGTGGTGTCATACTTCCCACTGGATGAGTGAAGGTTGACTAACACCCACAGGAACTGATGTGGGTAACTATTCCCATGGATGATGTGAAAGGTTGATCTACCACCCACGGGACTGTGTGGTTGTAACTACTTCACATGGATGAGTGAGTTTGATACTCCACCCACAGGACTGCTGTGGTGTCCACTACTTCCCACAGGATCTGAGTGAAGGATTGACTACCACACAGTGGACTGCTGTGGTGTCACTCTACTTCCCACAGGATGAGTGAAGTTGTACTACCACCCACAGGTCTGCTGTGGTGTCACTTACTTCCATACAGGGATGAGTGAAGGTTGACTACCACCACTGGAGACTGCTGTGGTGTCACTATTCCACAGGATGAGTGAAGGTTGGACACCCACCCACAGGACTGCTGTGGTGTAACTTACTTCCCACAGGGATGAAGTGGAAGGTTGACTTTCCACCAACAGGTCTGCTGTGGTGTCACACTACTTCCCAAGGTATGAGTGCAGGTTGACTTCTCCCACTAGGATGCTGTGGTTGTCACTACATCCCACAGGTATGAGTCGAAGGTTGACTACCACCCACAAGGACTGCTGTGGAGTCACTACTTCCCACGGATGGGTGAAGAGTAGAATACCACCACAGGGACTGCTGTGGTGTCACTACTTCCCACAGGATTTTGGGGATAAGAGAGGTGACTACCACCCACAGGACTGCTGGGTGTCACTACTTTCCCACAGGATGAGTGACAGGTTGGACTACCACCCACAGGACTGCTTGTGTCGTCACTACCTCGACTATGGGTCATACAGCACATCTCTAAATCTACTCTCAAACAAACATAAACATCTAAGATCTCCAATAGAAATAAGTCACTTTGACTTTTTGTGGGTTTTCCTAGGTAATTTACACTATATATAATTTAATTCTTTTACGTATGTATACATTCTACATTAACGTCAGGAAATTAAAGAAGGTTCAAGACAGGTATCACCTCAGCGGTAATATTCCATACATCAATTGTACTGGCTTTCGCTGTACTTATTACTAAAATTGGTACGATAACAGAGATTAGCATGGCCCTGCGCAAGGTTGACACGCAAAAATCGTGAAGCGTGTCACCGTAAACATTAGTTCATGGTGTTTTATTGTGTTATATATTAAAATGATGTGATTACTTAGTGAAGTGATTTTGTATTGTGAATTGTGACTGGTTGAAGCGCTCGTACGGAGAACGTATGGTTCGAGGCTATGTTGTAAGAATTTTTTTCTTTTTCTTTATTTTTTTATTATGATAGACACGTTAAGCTTAACTTTAAAGATGTAGGAAAATAAAAAAAAATAGCAAGAAATGCAAATATAATTAAAAATTGAAGTCTATAATTTTCACCTCTAGGATGCCCTGATCCTGCCTAAGTGCAGTGTGCGTCAGGCTATGGACAATTTCAATTAAATTTTTATTTAGGACCACTACTTTTTATTTATTTTATTTATTTATAATTTGAGCACATTACAGAGGTACAAAAAAAATACAGATAAGAGCAGCATGCTATAAGCGCACTTTATACATGAATAGGCATTACGGGCTGGCTTTAAAAATTAACTTAAGATTAACTAAGCAATGATTGGAAATCAGTGAAAAACATTAATGTAAACTTATCACTAGAAAGGCAAGCAAGTGAGTATTAACAAAGACAGTCATATGGTTCAGCATTGTTTGTAAATTCAGTAAAGAAATGGAGGATCTGTTAGGTAGTGGTATTTAAAAAATTAATAAGCGTAGATTGGGTTGAAAGTTAACATATTATGTGATATAATTTGAGAAACATTTTAAATATACAATTATAAGGTTCAGTTATTCAGTATTTATTTGTTTTGGGGTGATACATAATGATACATAATTTGGTTTTATGTAGAAAATGAAGTTACATTAACATAGGCCAAGTTACAGTAATTCAAGTTGAACTCTGTTGCCTCTGTCACTTATGGTAAAAAATAAAAGATCTATTATCCTATTGTAAAAAAATTATTATTGGTAGAAAAGTATTGGAGTTTTCATTGGCTGTCTATATCTTTCTATATTAAAAGAAAAATAAAAAAATTGATCTTCCCTTCCGAGACTTAACCAGAGACATGGGAGGTGATAACAGACCTGTCCCACCCATATGACGCGCACACTATTCCTCCACCGAAGTATATTAATTTAACAACCTATCACACACATCTATATCACTTACTAACACAATATGGTCAATGGAATGTTTACGGTGAAAAATGTGGAAGCGCTTCACGATTTTTCGTGTTCCATCCTTGTGCGCAGTGCCATGCTAATCTCTCTGTATCGTTCCAATTAGTATATGTACTGCCGAAGCAGTACACTGATGTGTGAATATTACCCGTGAGGTGATACCTGTCTTGGTTAGGTTTTGAGAGACAATATGTCTAAACTTTTTAATGGTTTTGAATAAGTTTATAAATAACAAGTAATGTTGTATTCAAGGAATACACAAATAATACAGTTACATAGATGGATCAATACATACAATATAAAGTGTATAGATCCTGACAACCCAAAAAAGTTAGCAGATGTTATGGGTTTTATTAAAAGTACTTTATATGAAAATTTCTAGGGTGCTTGACCTGTAATTAACTCAACATAAATACCAGAACCAGTAATCCATTGGGAGACAATCATATTGTTTTTACTAGTCGACCCCGAGTAGACATGTGGAATAAAACTGAACCACCCCTGTGGCGGCAAGTGGTCCCCTCGACCTCCCAATCTTATCCATTTCTATCCGAAGCCCATAAAGGATTATAGCACCCACATGTACGTGCTACTAATTAAGTGTGGACTGTATAGATTATATATTAGTTAGCTGAAGAACGGGGGGGTAGGATACACCTGGATACATCCAAATCAAGGGAAAACATTGTACATAATCCCAACACTTACCAAGTTGTTCTCTGGTGGTCATTTGATGTAGCTGATCATCATAACGCTAGCTAAATACAACATAACACAACTGGCCAGCATAATATAGTTATAACTAAAGGTTACTTAACAGTGGTGATTGGATTCTCCTTATTTCTTCCATTCACCATCTCATTTTCGATGTTCCTGCTACTTCCAACCACGTTTCTCATTCTCGCAGGGACTAGTATCCGTCGGTTTGTCCCTGTTAGAAATCAATGGATCAATATCTCACTTTCCATCGCCTTCGAACCAACAAGGTCTAACGTTTTTCCAATGCGGAGTCAAGGCGACTTATTTCACATCCCGCATTCTCGGGTTAAGTCTTTAGTTTATCACTGAGTTCATAACATTCACAAACGATGTAACGTCACTAATTATTATACACATTAGACCCACTTCCATTAAGATCTAGACACGATGAGTGATGATTAAACCAATGGTAATTTCCCCAGACACAGTCCATATGACGCGTCAGCACCTGTCCTACCCCTATCACTATGTTTTACCACTCTATTACCGTTCCCGAAATCCACCTTCCCTCACTCTACTCCACCAGAACATTACGACACTATCTTATTATAAGATGAGGCCTAGTTGATTCAATCCTTAGCAGCCGTGAATGCCAATTTTCGTGGTTCCATCTTTCCCAGTCGTTCCCTGCACCAAATTCAAAACAATCCGCGCAGCCCTCCCATGGCCCGAGTACCCCCAAACCCCCACACATCCGCACATTCTCTAAAGGGAACTCTTGTTCTACCTATTTCAAAAACATTTTTTGACTCAAATCAACCATTAAACACCTATTAGCGCTTATAAGCATCGAAAATCAAAATTTTCGCGACACTGCGGACGGCGGAGGTCGTATGCTAAGACACTTAGCATAATGTGATACAAGTTTCCCCGTCTTCACTGGCCATCTGGCTTGGAACTCTTGCATTGAAATTTCATAACTCACCAATAATATTCTTTCCTCCTTTTTAACACCTCAGGTAAGGATCTATCCACCAAAGTACACTCCAAGCCTCCATGCTTCTGGTATAACAATTTCCCTCTTATGTAAGTATGACACTAAGTCTAAGCTCACAGGGTAAATTGTGGGGCATACTAATTATGTAGACTTGAACAATAACAAGTCTCACTCATTATCCAAGTCATCCCCCAGCACAATACTGCAATAAGGCACCAACTCCATGGCCCAGTCCTAGTGTTGTAACCCTCAATGACTAAATAGTGTTTCCATTCTCATTCAGGGCCATAAACTATGCTCCCTGGATTTAATGTATTGGCAAAACGTGAATTTTATGAGACCTTTAACAATAACAGTCTCTCTCAGTACCCCAACTCAGTCCCCAGCACATTACGCAATTATGGCACCAACTCCATGCCCCATCCATATTTTATTTGAAACCCTCAAAATGGACCTAATTAGTGTTCCATTCTCTCCAGGGGCATAACCTGATGCTCCTGGATTAATTTATTGGCATAATGGAATTATGAGACTTTAACATTAACAATGTCTCTCTAGTAACGCCAATTCCCAACTCATCCCAGAACATTACTGCTATAGTAGGCCCCAACTCCATGGGCCATACCATATTTATATGGTAATTCTGGACGGTCGAGCTCCACGGAAGATCGCCCCCAGTAATGTCCAGATCACATTTACATCCTTCATATTGTTCCTGAGTAAAGGAATCATTTTTAGTTACATTTTATATTAATCTCCTATTGCTGTCCACCCCACTAAAACGTAAAGGGCGTCTTGAATGAAAATATCACGTTGAAATTAACTCACTGTAGTATGGTAATATATTGTCAGACATAATAGAAGATGAGCCCTGTGCCGAAGGCCTGGTTCAACGTCTTGTAGGGGCTCCCGCCGAGTGAGACGGACAAAAGACACTGCCCTTGTGTATGCCTATGACGTCACACAAAGCCAAAAGGCTTACGAGATCTCGTGTCTAAAGCAACTGGATGATACTAATAGCTATGCTAATTATAAACTGGAATACAGGATCCAGCAACTATGCTTGACAGCTCTGTTGCATGTTACGTATGTCGTCCCTACCATACACGACTATACTAGAGTGCTGAACAGCAGGCGATCTGGGCTGATCAAATACAATATCAAAAGGCATAGATAACTTAAACTAATGATGGTACAACATGAATTTGACGTAATGGGTGTTAACCGTAATCCATTACAAACTATAAGAACAAATCATTATACTATATGGATTGAGATTGATCGTTCGAGTCTGTATTCATGCACTCTACGGATTTCTGAGAAGAATAATATATACAAGAAGTGTTTAACAGAAAGGCAGATTCGGTGCACGGCAAATCTAACTGATAATTCTCAAATACGGAGGAACTGAACACGTAAATCACACTGACAACTGAACACTAATAATAAAACACACAATTGACAAATTCATCATCTCGGACACTAATTATACAGAACTAGTCAATTAAACCCAATTCTGCGAGTTAAGGTTTACGTATGCAGAATGTTATCATCTCTGGGGAGGGTCGAATTCCTCTGCAATGGCTAACAACATCCTTGACAGAAGAGATCTGAAGGAATATCTACAAAAGATACTTCGGGTTTCTCATTACTACGATACACAGGAATTAACGACATTGCAAGGTTGATTAACTGACTGAGTATCTGAGTATAGAGTTACAGTATCAGGAGGATTGCCAATCTGTCTCATTTGTCTGGTATCAATATCCTCAACATCGCATACTAATCTTCATATGATCTAAATGCCGAATCTTTGTATTCTGCCAGTACTAATTTTGCTCTAACCGTATACCTTAATTCCAGTGCTATGTTTCAACTACTCGATAAGTCGCTGACAAACTATTTATCAAGCTGGCAATTGCAGAACTTTTTGTAAAGTTAATCCGCATAACTCTCGAACCTACTTTTTGATTTTAGATGGCTTTGCTCGATTTTGCGACTCTTGTAAATTTCTTGCTGTTATTTATAATGTTTCACGATTCTTCTAAAACACTGTTGAGCTAAGCGGAGGGGGCGAGTTGCTACAACTCAGTCAGGGTTGTACATTAGTTTTCGGAGTAAATAATAACAACTCAATAGGGTTAAACGCATGTCAACACATACAAATCATATGTGGATATCACCTATTGAAAGCAATGTAAGCAGAATTTATCACACTGGACATCTGATAACTTCATCCCAAGTTCAGGAGTGGTTTAGTGCTCTCCAAACATCAAGTACTTTCTTATTTGTTCTTATCGGCTAAACCCATTGGCTGGCAGGAGATAGAGAACAATGGTGGATTAAGAGATCTTGTATAAAGTACACAAATTTTCAAGATTCACATTACAGAATTCACCTATTCCCCATTTTAAAAAATAAATTCTTTTACTAAGACTGGAGTGGTATGCCCCGGCAGATAATGCGTTATTTATTACCTTTAGATTACTGGCCTGCGCTTATCTGCCAATAGGAACTAGCTCACAATATCTGGTGAAATGGTCTACCATGAAACACACAGATGTTTTGTTTGCCTGGAGAACATTTAAAATGAGTTTATCAAATCCAAGGGTCAACTCTTCCCACGTTCGCTAGTGTTGGGGTACTCTTGGGATTGGGTTAGGACCATTGACATTCATTTATGCTGCATACAACACTACATTTCTTAACAACTCGGAAATGTTCAGTTGCCATACTGCCAAAAGTATTCATTCAGGCTTGTTTCACAGAACATCCGATACCAGGGTGTGCGCAACACCTTGTTTTTTGTGGGCCACCATTCATGAACTAGCTGTAGAGCTACGTCACTAGTGACTAGTGGACTTACAACTGGTAAACTCATCTGCTTGAGTTAACCCAACTCGGCTGTTCGATACAGGTATTTCCTGACTCATTACAAATCCACTAAGTGTGCTGGTGAGGCTTACAGCTAAGAATGAGATCTGCCTTGGAAGAAGAATCGAATCACTAGACCAATCCACATGGATCTATTCTTTGTGCATTTTGACATCCTCGACAGTAACTGGAGATCTGCATAACACACTAACCTTGTCGCATAAAGCATCTGCGACTACAATTTGAACTTTCCAGGTAAATGTTTCAAAAGTGGGATTGAACTCTTGATAGTCAGGACCATCTGCTAACCTCCAGTAGGCTGTTTGTTCGAATAAAGGTATCAGTGCGCATGATCTCAAGACATGAACAGGGTAACTGGTCATGATGTCTCGAATGCTTTAAAGACCACACTATTGATAAAGCTTCTTGCTCCGTTACGTATAATTACTTTCAGACCTTCGAGTAAGGACCGCTAGCAAATGCCAACTGCGTTGTCTTGCTATCAGGCCCTTCTGAGCTAGTACGGCACCTATGCATTGGAACTAGCAATCAGTCTC